AAAGAGAACAGATAGTGAAGGGAACAGCCTACACTAAACCCTAAGTAAAAAATTCAGATATGTTCCCAAACAATGGCATTGCTAGGAAACAAATCATAAAGTTTGTACTTCTTAATTCCTAGAGTCTATTTCTCTTCGTAGTTATGCTTAATACCTCTGCGAATGCTACAGAATAAGTATTCACTCCAAAAAAAAAAAAAAAAAGCAACCGAGAGGGTTATTTTCTTTGCTCTCACCCCCACCTTGCTCTTCATCGTCTTTCAGTTTCTAAGGAGAATCAGAGCTACATAAATAACCTTATCCAACAGAGTGAGTTTTTTGGCAGTAAACTTTCTATTTGTTAATTATATCAGCTTCTGTCAAAGTGTACAGGGTATCTTACAGAGTTTTAGAAGACTGGTTTCTGAATTCTCAAATGACCTGCCCACAGGATTCCATTAGAAAATAAGAACAAAATGGAAACGAATTTCCACAGAAATGCCATGGGCTGTAACAGTAAGAGATAACCCTTTAGAAACTGGCTAAGATTAGAAAGAAGAGGTACATTTCTTGCTATCCCTCTACCCTCCATATCACAAGATGGGCAGGGGGAATAAATACAATAAAATTAGGGCAACTAGGGTTATGAGCTATTAGGTTATCCTGCAGATCCAGAATATTGGCTGTTTGTTTCTTTCTGGTTTGGGGATTACTTTTGTTTAGAAGGCACATTTTTGGTTTGGGACAGTAGAGGTGGCAGGGTATCATCCAGGAGAGAGAAAACAACTCTAGTATTTAGAGTTGTCTTTAGGCTTAAGAACAGAAGATGACAGGAACTTTGAGATTTCTTATTGGACTGCCCCGTCTAGTTCCACAGGATAGAAAGTAAGGAAAGGATTCATGGTAGATGCCCTTTCTAGAAATGAGGCTCAGATTTTTTCTTGGGTCCCAAATGGATTCCTTAAACCTTATAGAAGGTAAGTCTGAGCTTTGCACAGTTTGGAAGGGAGGTCACAGACGTCCTGACTGCACTGCCCCTACCGCACATCCCCACACATTCCAATACTTGAGACTGTTGTTAGGCTTTAAGATAAACTTGAAGGCAAGAGCCACTTTTACTCACTACTGGTGAAGGTGACATTGACACTGTAAGACTGGCCTTTGTGCAGTTTGCAGGGCTGGGTGGGGCATGGGTTCACATTCAGTTCCTTTATAACTCCAAGCCCAGTACCTGTTAAAAAAAAAAAAGAAAAATGAATTGGAATAGGAGGGAAAATAAACCACCTATGCTGTTGCCTACCTAATGGGAAGGTGCTCTGCTCTCCGAGAAACTCTTCGTATCTGATGGCTGAGAATGAATAAAAGCAGTTAAGTATAAAAAGCCAGCTCCACTGCTCTAGATCCTGGGAGGGCTACACCAGGGAAAGTCATCCCCACCCCTCCTCCCATCCCCCTGTAGGATTTAAAGCAGCACACACATGGCACAAGTGATGGCTCAAGCCTCAGGCCTGCCCTATCCACCTAGACTCTTGAGACTGGCTGCTCCTGAACTGCCCCCACCCCAATGTCCTTCAGATCCTGTCCTGGTTTTGCTCCAAACTGGTGGTCGACCAGCTTTGTATACCCCTACCAGTGAAAGCAATTTTAAGAATGCATCTGCAGTATACAGGCTTACACTCCACTGTGGAAACATGTGTTCTTCAAAATAAGTGTCTCTGAGACCGGGTGTGTGTCTTTGCAGTCTAAACAAAGACAAAAGTGCTGTTTGTTCCCAATAAATGCTTGACCTAAACAGGTTAAGTAAAATTTTTAAAAATCCCACTGCCTCATCCAGGCCCCTGAAACTGGACAGCTGAATGGAGAGATTGCAGGCAAATTGCCTGTTAACACCACCTATGCCATGGAAAGCTTTTTTTTTTCCCCCAGAGATTTTATTTATTTATTTGAGAGAGAGAGAGAGAGAGAGAGAGAGAGCACAAACAAGGGGAACAGCAGGCAGAGGGAGAGGGAGAGGGAGAGGGAGAAGCAGGCTCCCTGTTGATGCTCGATCCCAGGACCCTGGAATCATGACCCAAGCTGAAGGCAGATGCCCAGCCGAGCTACCCTGGTGGCTGCCCCCCCCCAAGGAGAGCTTAAGCTCAGCCATCATGGCTAAGAGGTAGGCTCTGGGACCTGACACCTGGGTTTGCAATCTCACGGGCTCCATGACTTACTGAGAAACCTCAAAACAAGATACTTCACCCCTCTGGGGAAAATAACAGTGACTGCCTCATAGGGTAAGTGAGGTAACACACTTATAGCTCTTACATAAGTGTTTGCAACATAGTAGTGCTATGTTCATTTTATTGTAACAAGTAAGTGTTCATTTTATTACCATCATATGGGATTCAGTCCTCGAATTTAGTCTAGAATAGTTGCTCCTGGGTGGGTTGGCAAGTTCCTTTTTGACACAAAAGGTGGGCCTCTCCTTTGCAGTCACCAGGTTAGCTTAGCCTATAGGATATGAAGAGAAGCTCATGTAGATGCACTTGGCTTTTTCGGCCTGTGCCTGCTCTTGAGTGGGACAGTTTCATCATACAGACCAATACTGCTCCAGCTAGGTCTGTAAGTAAGAACTTGCTGTCCCTCATCCGCAGCATGCTTCTCCATCATGGGCAAAGTTCTCAAAATACACCTGCAAGAATTCTCTTCTTCAAGCACTGTCTTCCACTGTCCTATCTTCTACAGACAGGAAAAAAAAAATCTGGAACTTGAATCAACAACCTACTGAAAATCAGTGCTTATGCTAGAGCTTTCAACATCCACTTCTACCTGCTTCTTTCCAGGCTGGGTCACGTGATCTAGTAGGGCCTGAGGAAAGGGTAGTACTTGTAGCTCCCTCATCCAGTTTTACTGAGAAGAGGTGCTTGGACTTTCAATGTCCACAGAACAAACTCCTCAGTCCTAACTGGCAAAAACAGCAAAACCAGTTTGCTTGGTCCCATTGCTTACTTGAGGAAATACCACTCCAGGGGAAAGGGTCGGTGGTAAAGTGGAACTCAACTCGAAAACCCTTTGATGTGGGCGCTGAAGTTTTTACGTTGTTATTTCCCAATTCAGAAGTCAATTGAAAATCTGTAACTGAAACCACCCCTCCCTTAAGAAGTTCTTGCCATAGGTGGACATCTACTTTTTTCAAATGAGTAGAACAGTATCTGGATTTGCTTTCCATAGTTGTTGTTGTTGTTGTTGTAATGTTAATGTTACCACTGAAACCCAAAGTGGTTCACAAGCCCCCACTAATTTCCTACTCCTTACTAGCTGTGAGAACTTGGAAAGTTACTCCATGTGCCTGATTCCTCATCTGTAAAACAGATCCTGAGGGTTGAACGAGTTAATAAAGTTAATATAATATCTTCATCCAAATTTGGCCACTAAGTTTAATGGAGGGAAAGGCAGTAATTTGAAGTGATAATACCATCTTTCAAGTGCCAGCAATTTAGTGGAACAGCATTTGTTAAGTATTAAGAGGCCAGCAGTCTTTACTCCTTAATCAATCCTGTCCCCTCGCCTAACTTTGCTTTTGCCTCAACATGAATTTTGATAATATAGTGGAGAGTATTTATTCCCTCATTTACTTTTTCAACAAATATTTATTGAGCAGTTACTATCACCTGGGCACTAGATATAAAGGATCAAACTAATTCTCGTTCCCATTCTGCTGGGTGACTTTGGGTAATTTATCCAACATCTCTGGAATTCAATGATTGACTCCAGGATCTCCAAGTTTCCTTCCAGCTCACTGATTCTATCAAATGTCTTCTTTCATTTACCATTGCACCTTTTCACTTCAGGAAAGTTCTGCTCGAACGAATAATTCCATAGACTTGACTATTTTGTATCCGCCCCTCCCCCATTGTATTTCCCAACAAAGATCCCTACCACAGCGGCAAGGGGAGGTTATGTGTCACAAGCTGTGACCAGCAACAGGAGTTTTATATGTAGGAGGAAACAGTGATTAAGGATCACAAAATTATATAGCCCAAAGGAAGTGGTAATGGAGTAAATCATGAAAAGGAGAATTGACTTTTGACTTGTCAGCAAAAGGGAAATTAAAAATAAAAGCAAACGGCGTGGGGAGGGAGAGATCCTCCAAGATACGAGGCATATGTAAAAAGAAGTTCTGCGCCCCACCGCTCACGCCCCGCGCAGCGTTGGGACCTTCAGTTGTCTGCTCTACAAACTTTAGGAAACTTCAGCAAAAGGCCCAGCTCTAGGAAATGTCCAGGGACCCCAACCACGCGTCTCAGGAACGAGACAAAGTTGTGGGCCGTTGGGTTTCGCCGCCCGCACCTTCTCCCCGACCCCTGCCCACTCCAGCCCACTCCACGTCGAGTCCGCGGCTGAGCCTGGCCGCCCGCGGGACCCGCCCAACCTAGCGGGGGGTCTCGGCGCGGGGCTCCCGTAGGGGTCCCTGCAGAAGGCGCGGGAATCTCGGGCAGGTTCGGGCTCACCGCAGTCCTTGAAATGCACCGGCTCCGCAAGGGCGGAGGCGCCGAGCGCCAGAAGGAGGAACGCGGCGACCAAGAAACGCATCGCAGCTAAACAGGTTCCCAGCGCCAGGAAGGAAGAAGCGACCGCCTCAGTCACAAGATAAACTTGCCGGGGCGGGCCGGGGGAGGAGCTCGGTCAGGCCACTCGTCACCAGCAACCAGGGCTGGGCCTGCCCGCGCCCCGCCCCCCGGTCCGGCGACCCAAGCTCGGCTCGGTCCCGCCCAGACGCCAGCTTTCTCCGCCCATCTTGTCCGCTCCGCGGCCCCGCAGGCTTGGATCCATCTCCGCCCCGCCCCCTCCTTTCTCCGGCGCTCCGCCGGGTTTTGTCGGTTCGCCCTCACTTCCGTAAATGGGAGCATTTCTAGCCAATCAAATCCCTTCTCCTCCAGCACCACCCAATAGGTATGCTCGGAGGCGGGGTCTCTGTGGGTCCCGCCTCCGAAGGCCCAGGTGGAGAAAGGGATTGGGGCGACGTGAGGGGCGGGGTTCGTGGAGGAAGATGGCGGCGGTCCGCGGGTTATCTCTAACGACCGCGGCGCTGAGGGCGGTCGCTCCTTGGGCAAGGGGCAGGTACGAAGCCTACGACAGCACCTGGGAAGGGTGTTAAGAGGCGCATAACTAAGGCCTGCGGGAGGCGAGGGTTTGGCGTGAGGCTGTCCAAGTGGAGGTCGTCAGGTTTGCCGTGAGGCTGTTCAGGTAGAAGTCACCAGGTGCCCCTCTGCTCCCGGACTCATCCTCCTCCGTTGTGCAGCAGGCTCCTCGCGGCCTCTCGCGGACCTCAGGCTCGTCGGGAAGCGTCGTCCTCCAGCCCCGAGGCCGGCGAAGGGCAGATCCACCTCACCGCCAGCTGTGTCCAGGTAGGAGGCCGGACGCGGAGAGGTACGGGGGAGAGGGCCCGGAGTGCAGGGCCTTCCCCTTGGCCCACCCTTCTTGCCTGGCATTCTTGCCTGGTATTCTTGATCCCCCTTTTTGCATTTCAGAGACTTCTGGAAATCACCGAAGGGTCAGAATTCCTAAGGCTGGAGGTAGAGGGAGGTGGATGCTCCGGATTCCAATACAAATTTTCACTGGATACAGTTATCAACCCCGACGACAGGCAAGAAGGAAGGGGTGGGTCCTCAGAGAATGTGTGGGAGGGATAAAGCACGTTTATTTCAAATTTAAAAGGTTTGCTAAGAACGCCTGACACCACCCTTCTCACACAGTGGGAATACAGTGAAGATTTGTTGTCATGATTCAGAATAACTATGTTATAGGAGGAAGGTTGGCTTGCCTAGGTCCGTAGTGTAGAGTCAGGCTGGACTGGATTCCAGGCCTAAATCCCTAAACATTTACCAGTATTATTCCATTGACTCTTTTTGCCTCAGAGAAAAGCAGCACCTGTTAGATAATAAGGAATGCTTCTCCTGTATTGGGAAAACAGGATGTGCACCCCAGGGCTCAGAGAGTGTTATGGTTTTGGTGGTTGTGATAGTCATTAATGTCTTCCTCCTGTTTTTTTCAGGGTATTTGAACAGGGTGGGGCAAGAGTGGTGGTTGACTCTGATAGCTTGGCCTTCGTGAAAGGGGCCCAGGTGGACTTCAGCCAAGAACTGATCCGAAGCTCATTTCAAGTGTTGAACAATCCTCAAGCACAGCAAGGCTGCTCCTGTGGATCATCCTTCTCTATCAAACTTTGATGCTGTGCTCGCTTTGGCAGCACATACACAAACTTTGATGTGATGACAGGTGACCCAGAGATTGCTACCACTTGTACCAATCTGTGGAACCTGGGATTAGTAGAATTCTAGAGGTTTCCTTCCAATCATGTCCTACTCTCAATTTTATTTCCCTCAGTCCAGGAGTATTGTGTTTTGCCACTGTTTTCAGAATATGAAGCTTTTATTCTCGATCTGTTTTCACTCACACATTTCTAAGGCCAAGCCTCTAAGTGCTGTGATCTGAGATCTACTAACTGGTTGAAACCCACCCAGTATAATCTGTAGAGCCTCCAAGGTTCCAAAATTTGGAGTCACTTCTCAGGCCTTCAGAGTTGCTTGTACATAGGTATATAGCTATGTATAAAAGCTTCATTTTGAAGAAAGTCCTTATTTACTTGTGTTCTGGATCAGGATCACAGATTGGGTAACTTGAACACTGGTTACTAGGCTAGAGAGGATGAGAAAGGCAAAGGGAAGGTTCTCTTTTTCATCTCATTCTTCCTGAATGTGCTAGTTGACGCCCTTCTTTTTCTTTCTTTCTTTTCTTTTCCCCCACATCCTTATTTTCTGTGCTGCCCATTCTCCACTTCCCATTTGTTAGGGTAGATACATTTTCCTCTCTTACTTGCCAGTCTGCTAGAGTCACAAAACCAGTAGTCCATCATCCAGGAAACTTGGATCTTGGTTAAACCCTTGTTTTCCTCAATAGCCTAAAAGTTCATTACAACAAAAACTTGCATTTCTGGACTGGATTGGAATTAAGGTTATTCAGCAAAAGAATTTACCATTAAAAAGGGAAAAGCAGAGTTTAAAGACAAGATATCTGAGACAGAAGCTTAGGTACTTACATTTCAATATGGGAAAACCTAGGATTTAGAGAAAGCAAACCTATTGTGTGTACAGTGTGTACAAAGAGGAAGGAGGGGACACTTAGAAACCTGACCTTTCTTAGCAGATTCCTATGGGAGGGGGCAGAAAACAGCATATCCTGGGAGCATCTGTTTAACTTTACTAAGACATTTAAAGTTGCTGCCAATACCTGGGCCTAATAAGATTTTCAGCTCAGACTAAGTCTTTTCATCCTCTTTTCTTTTTTTAAAGATTTATTCATTTGAGAGAGAATGACAGAGAGAGAGAGAGAGAGAGAGCGAGCACAGAGGGGGGAGGGTCAGAGGGAGAAGCAGACTCCCCACTGAGCAGGGAGCCCGATCGGGACTCAATCCCAGGACTCTAGGATCATGACCTGAGCCAAAGGCAGTCGCTTAACCAACTGAGCCACCCAGGTGCCCCTCTTTTCATCCTCTTTAAAAGGAGATTTTGCTACATTTTAAATGTTAGAATGTACTGTTTTAAAGAGTACGCTTTATTTTATTTATTTTTTAAAATAAGCTTAACACCCAACACGGGGCTTGAACTCATGATCCTGAGATCAAGAGTCACATGCTCTACTGACTGAGCCAGCCACGTGCCCCATAATTTTGTGATTTTAAAACTCATGCAGAGCACAAGCTTAATTGCTTTAGTTGCCAAAATAACCATTAAATTGCAGTGGTCAGTTAGATAGGAACAGAGTCCCTTTGAATGCCTATATGTAAGTACCTGCTGTTAATGGGAGAATAGGAATTCTGTGTTTTAGAAAAGGTGGGTTTGGGAGAAATCACCTTTATCACACTGAGAAAGCCGCATGGGAAAATCCTAAGTAGTAATAAGCTTCCATTGGAGTAGGGTGATGTAGAAATTTTAAGAGCATAGAGCATAGAGAAATAACAGCATCAAGGGGTCAGTGGGCAATTTGCTTGGGATAAATAGTATAGTAAAAGAGGGTTAGGGTCTTTTGCAGGCCCTGTATGACCAGATGCCCTCTTTCTGGTAAAGATCAGCGGATGTTTTCACAAATTTTGCTCACTGTGCAAATTCATTTAGGAAAACTTTTATACTCTTCTGGTATCCATCGGAAGATTTTTTGCTTCCCCATTACTTTCAAGGGGAAAGGCCTTATTGTTGCAGGATTGGTTTTATTTTTTATGCAAGTTAGAGAGTGTTTGGGGGCAGCATACCCTCCCTTTGCCTTAGTAAGACATAATGCAAGAACCAAAGGCAAGGGAGCCCCGCATCTGCTTTATGTTGTGAATCTGCGTTTTTTGTTTGTTTGTTTGATGTTATTCATTTGAGAGAGAGACTGAGAAGGAGCAGGGGAAGGGGCAGAAGCAGACTCCCGACTGAGCAGGGAGCCCAATGTGGGGCTGGATCCTGGGACTCCAGGACCATGACCTGAGCTGAAGGCAGGTATTTAACCAACTGAGACACCCAGGTGCCCCAGTTTTGTTTTTTTTTTTTTTGATGATTTTATTTATTTGAGAGAGCAAGAGTGGGGGCAGGACAGAGGGAAAGGGAAAAGCAGACACCCCACTGAGAGAGCCTGAAGCGGGGCTTGATTCCAGGAACCTGAGATCGTGACCTGAGCTGAAGGCAGACGCTTAACCAACTGAGCCACCCAGGTGCCCTTGTTGTGAATCTGCTTTATGTTGTTGACTCAAAGCGGGGGGCCTCTTAGTCAATGTCCAGATCTTACCTTGTGGAATCGTACTCTTCAGTTATGTGATTGATAGTGACTAGTGGTATGTGAACTGTAGGTGTCCCACCCACCCTTAGTTTCTTTGTGTGGGAATGTCGACAGATTACAAAGGATTAGGAGAAAACAGGTTTAGAAGTAAGAGATTAGGAAGGGCTACTAAAGTAGGTGTCCAAGAAGAACTTTCTAACTTTTCTGACTTCTAAGAATTGAAACCCGTTATTTCAGTCTTCTGTATAAAGCTCTGAGGGGAGGGTTGACATTTGGCAGGAGCATCCTATATAGAGAAGTGGGCAACACTGATTGTATGGTGTAGCCCTCCCTTAAGTGCTAGCTGAGAGTGGATAGCATGCCGCTGGTAGTGTGCAGGACCTAACATTGTCCACTGCAACATAATTAATGGTTTTGTATGTTTGTGTCAAAGGCAGGAAATTCCTCTACTTTTCTAGGTACCTAGCAGTGGTGTTTATGATTGCTCTTTTAAAATCCCTGTTTGCCATTTCTCCACAGAAATGTTTGCTTTAGGAAGTTCTGAAATAATTATGTGGCTTTAATTGTCAGATAAATATATAAATATATAAAGAAGGGAGCATTTAAGCAGTCTATGGCCAAAGCTGTATTTAAAAATATTTTATTTTTTGGAAAGGTAATACACATGGTACAAAATTCAAAAAGACACAAAAGGGGATACAGTGAAAAGTCTTCCAATCCTGTACCCATCCACCCTGTCACCCTCCCCATAAACCACTGTTGTTTCTAAGAATTTACTCTATAGGTATAATCCCATAGATATAATGTGAAGTAACATATACACAAGAATATTCATTATAGCATTACTTATAATAGCAAGAGATAGGAAACAATGGAAGTGTCCATCAGTAGGGGACTGACTAAATAAATTATGATTTATCCATTCAGTGGCATAGTGTACAGTTATAAAATAGAATGAGACAGTTCTTTATGCGCAAGTCTGGATTAAGTGAAAAGAGCAAAGTGCAGAACAGCAGGCGTAGGGTGCTATTTGTGTTTTTGATACAAAGAAATACGTGTATGTGAATGAAGTTTTTCTGGGTGAGCAGGAAGGTGAGGGTTGGGAGGAGGCGTAGCGCCAGCGGGTAATGGAGGAGTGGTGAGCAGCTCTCTGAACCATGGGGTGTGAGGCAGAGTGGCCAGGATGAGGTCAGCAGATACCCAGTTGTCTTCCCCCTTTCTTTAGACAAATAGCAGCACATGGTCCACTTTGTTACACAGCCGCCTTTCCCCGCTTAGTCTGTTTTGGATTTCTTGTCAAGGTATTTAGAGCCTTTTTTTCCTTTCATTTTTAGGCCTCCGTAGCAACTAATTGCTTCTAATCTTTTGCTGTTACAAGTAATGCTATAATAAATAACCTCTTACATGTGTTCACATTTGGTGAGAATACATCTGAAGGTTAAATTCCTAGAAGAGTCAAAGAGTAAGTGCTTTTATAATTTCGAAAGACATTGCCATATTATCCTCTTCAGAAGTTGGGTCAGTTTAAGCCCCTGTCAGCTGTGTATGTGAGTCCCTCTTTCACCAGATGCTTGCCAACTAGGAGTCTTAACGAACTTCTGATCTTTGCCAATCTGAGAGTTTTAAAAGTGTGTTTCGTGTGGTTTTAACTCGCATTTTTTTAATGACTATTTTGATATGTGTAAGAACTACATAGTTTTGTCTGCTGAAAACATCTCAACCAGTATAGTGACGTAGAGAAAATTGTTTAAACTCTGTGTCTCCATTTCCTCATCCATAAATTGGGAATAGAAATAGTGGGATTGCTGGATGATTAAATGAAATTTGTGTTGAGCACTCAATATAGTGCCTGGCACGTAACAAGCATTCAATAAGTTATTATGGGATGGCTGACAGAGCAGCAGGTGGGACAGGACAGATTAAGAAAATAGTATTCATCTCCATGTCTTCAGGCACGTGGAGTCTTGTTCAATTACATTGCCTTTCATCAGACAAATGCAAAGGCAGAGCTTTCCTTGTCCTAGAAGAGTAAAGAACCTTTTCCCATTGGATCCCAATCATAGGCTATCGGCAGAGCTGGCAAAAGGATAGGCACAGCCTCATGTCTAATATTTAGACTTAGCCAACATGGTAAAGAAATTTGGTTTAATATGAAATAAAAACAAAAACAGGAGCCCAAATGTACATTTCTTTATTCCACCATGGTTCTAAACTCCTAGCTGGCCAAGGATGGAGTGGGTCTCTCCTTATAAACTGAGAGGGATGCCAGATCCCATTTTTGAAAGAAAGACAGCAAGGGCTTCTGAGTAGAGAGAAGAAACAACATGGCAAATCTGGCTTCCCCTAAACCAGACAAATCGACCCCTTTATTTTTAGTACTTCAAACTGGTATCCACAAAAGGAGAGCCCAGGAGAGATTTGTGTCCTGCAAGAAGCGGTGTGTATTTAATACAGGTCTTCGGAGGCGGGCCCCCGGCCTGTGGCAGCCTTGCTGTGGTTGGTGCAGGGAGCTGTCGCGGGTAGATTGCGAATGTTTACCCA